AGATATGCAGATGATACCACTCTCATGGCAGAAAGTGAAGAGGAACCAAAGAGCCTCTTGATGCGGGTGAAGGAGGAGAGCGCAAAAGTTGGCTTGAAACTCAACACTAAGAAAACTAAGATCATGGCATCCGATCCTCTCACTTCTTGGCAAATAGATGGGGAAGAAATGGAGGTAGTGACAGATTTTATTTTCCTGGGCTCCAAGATCACCGCAGATGGGGACTGCAGCCAAGAAATTAAAAGACGCTTATTCCTTGGGAGGAAAGCTATGGCAAGTCTAGACAGCATACTAAAAAGCAGAGACATCACCCTGCCAACAAAAGTGCGTATAGTCAAGGCTTTGGTTTTCCCGGTTGCAATGTATGGCTGTGAAAGCTGGACCATAAGGAAGGCTGAGCGCCGAAGGATTGAGGTGTTTGAATTGTGGCATTGGAGAAGACTCCTGCGTGTCCCTTGGACCACAAGGCGATCAAACTGGTCAATTCTAGAGGAGATCAGCCCTGACTGCTCCTTAGAAGACCAGATCCTGAAGATGAAACTCAAATACTTTGGCCCCTAATGAGAAGGAAGGACTCCCTGGAGAAGAGCCCGATGCTGGGAACACTAGATGGCAAAAGAAGGAGGGGACGGCAGAGGATGAAGTGGCTGGATGGAGTCGCCGAAGCAGTCAGTGTGAGCTTGGGTGGACTCCAGGGGATGGTGGAGGACAGGAAGGCCTGGAGGAATGTTGTCCATGGGGTCGCGATGGGTCGGACACGACTTCGCAACTAACAACAATAATATTGGTAGAAATGCTCCAGATAAAAGAAATGTGAAGTCTAGAAGCCTTTTAATTTTTCAAAAATTAATGTTTGCAGTCCTAGCCATTATTCTGTGCTCCAAGGCTGCTGGTTTCCTACTTCTGAGTAAATATGGTTACTCAGCAGTGTTCACGATGTATTATATATGTTGGAATATAATCAATACATAGCTCTGGATTTATGTATTATTTATTTATTAGACTTTTAGTCTGCCCCATTAGTGACATGGCTCCCTGGGCAGGTTACAGACAAATATATACAATCAATAAAATCTTATGAAAGACCATTGAGGCTATATTCTTTTTGACACCAGGTCAAAACCTTTTTTTTTTAAGTGTTATTTTAAGAATTAGTATTTTAATAGTTTTAATCAGTCACTCTTGATTTAATTTATTTTTTTGGCTGTATATTGTTTTATATTTGTAGTAATTGTTTATTCATTTTTGATTTTAATGTTTGTAAGCCATCCTGAGATTCCACGCATAGAGGATGGCATATAAAAGTTTTAAATGAATGAATGAATGCACAAGACTGAACTCTTAATTATAAAACAATGTAAGCACTCCAGTGTCACATTCGTAAGTGCATTTAGGTATTTTTCTTTTTCTGGCATTAATAGCATTTGGGTGAGAACTTGAAGACTGGCTTGACTGACTGGCCTAAACCTGTAGGAGGAAAACCAGCTGTTGAATTAGTACAGAAACTTCTGGAAGGTAATTTTATAGCATTCTGGAAATGTCTGCCTTGCAAGAGTGATTAGCTAACTGGGTGAATTTCAGCCAGTCACTGACTCTTAGCCTATCTTAATTCAGGGAGTTATTGTGAGGAGAAAAAGGAGAAAAAAGGGACCATGCAAGTCACCTCCACTTCCTTGCAGGAGGAAAAACTGTGGGATGTAAATGTAACAATACCTGAACTAAGGTCTAAAATAGATTTAAACAGCCCTCGCTGTTTGGTTCAATAAGTTCCCACTCCTGCCAGATCCTTGCAGGCTGCAGCAGCGTTCTTCCTGTCACTCTGATGTCGTTTTGCGACATGCATTTTCCCATAGCTCTGTTTTATCCTTATTCCACCTCTAGATTTAAAGGACGAGATGGATGGGTTGAAGACGCCGAACAAAAATGATATTGAGGTATTTCGGAAGCCTGTGCAGGGAAAAAATATTTGTGCAGAGGGTCCCCACGCCTCAGTCTGACAGCTTCGCCGCATCTTTTCTTCCACAAAACCTCCTGTGCCTGCTTCGTTCGTTCGCCTTCCCCCCCCTCCCCTTGCGGCCATGCCGGAGGAGAGGGGACGGTGTGGGGGCAGCGTGCAAGCAGCACTTCTGGAGTTCATGGACATTTATCCAGAGGCCGCTCTTGTGCAAGGGCGCTGCTTCAGCATTCACTTCGAATCCTTCTCAGGGCCCCCGAGACAGGCGGGCATTCTGCCTCCTGTGTCCTGACACACACAGCTGGTCACACGTGTTTCTTATCCATCCATCCAGGTATTTCTAACCTGTCCATTACAGTTCATCTCTGGATGGCTTACAATATAAAACAATAAATACAACCTAATAACACACAACTGAGAATGAAAAAAAAATTAAAATATTTAAACTTTAGAATATCGGGTAAATAAAAAGGTCTTGAGCTGGCGCTGAAAAGCATATAACATCGGCGCCAGGAGAACCTCCCTGGGGAGCGCATTCCATGGCTGGGAAGCCACCGCAGAGAAGGCCCTCCTCCGAGTGTTCTCTCTCCTGACCTTCAGGGAGGGCTCCCGGAGCAGGGTCTCTGCTGCAGATCTTAAGGGGCGGCTGGGCATGTAGGGAAAAAGACGTTCCTTCAGGTATCCTGGTCCCAAGCCATTTAGGGCTTTATAGGTCGTAACCAGCACCTTAAATTGGGCCCAGACTTCAGTTGGGAATCATTTGGCCAGTGGGGTTTTGCTCTGCTTGTGGGGGTCCCTTGATGACTGGATCACCCTCTCTTGAGCTTTAGAACAGCAGTAGCCTCCCTTTGCGGGCACTGCAGTGTCCATTGGAATGGCCAACCCCGGAGACTCCCAGAGTAAGGGATGGTTGGCACGTCTCGTGTCCCTGGGGGTGCCTGTTCCTTCGTATCAAGTGGAAATGGTGTTCACAGGGCCTCTTGGAAGCATCCTTTCCTACCAAGCGGAGCCCACCTGGCTCCCTGGTTGCTTCTGGAGCATTGTTGGTTTTGAAGCGGGCTGGGGGACAGCCAGAAGAAGGGAGTGGCCAAAATTTCTCTGTGAATTTGACCGCAAAAGTAACCCTTATCACAGTAGTCTGGCAGTGGAGAAGGCAAACTAACGTCGTTCTTCCACCACTTTGCATAAGCTTGGTGCTGCTCTGCAGAACTTCTCTAGGTACACATTTTTCATAGATTTCATTGTCTGTATGTTTTTTACAAACCTATTCCAGGAGGTTGCTGCTCTTGTTGTAAAGATGCAACGGTGAAGTTTCTTTCAAGTGGGATATAAATAACAGTTATCATCAGGCTTTTGTCTTCCCAAGGTTGTGCTGAAGCTATTTTTCCTTTCCAGAGTCCCCAGAGCACTGCAGCTGCCTTGCCCGGCTCCATGAAAACCCTTTTCAGCAGGAGAGGAGACCTTGATTTTGTGGAACTGCTGTGGTGCAAGATGTGGGGCAGTACGTATCCTTTGGACCAGCTCTAAAGAGAGAAGCGGCTTTTGCTCTGTCCTTGAATGACGTGTTTGTTCATTCTTTTGATCTGCTTTTATCTAACACTTGAACTTCTCTCCCCAAGAGGTCACTTCGTATGCGGAGCTGGTAGAATGTTTCTCACAGGTCATGAAAGCCATCCAGCACGGGGCATTGCAAACTTGGGTATGTCTGACTAATGGGACTGAGTGAGCAGGGCAATCCTGTATCTGAGGGGGCTGCTCTCGCTGCTACTTTGGTGGAACGGTCAATGTGGCTGATAATCATTTCTTAGATTGATATCCTGCCTTTCTTCTTACAAAGAACTCAGAGCGGCTTACATCCTCCTCCTCCTCCTCCTCCTCCTCCTGCTCTCGATCTTTATCCCCGCAACAACAACCCTGTGAGGTAGGCTGGGCAGAGTCTCTGCGACTGGCCCAAAGTCACCCAGTTGGCTCCAGGCTGACTAGAACTAGGTCCCATGTCGCGCTGGCTCTCACCTCACCAGCAAGGAAGAAGTAAAACTCACACGCAAAAGATAAAAAGTGTTTAGAAATGGTAGGTATGTACCCTCAACTCTCAGTTGACTGCCGGTGGTGGCGCTTGTATGCTACACACACGGCTGAGCAAGAGAGCGGGAGACTCGCCCCCACTGCCAGCACAACACCGTTGCTCTGCTGTGCACACAGTGTGGGAAATTACGCCAGGCACCCCCACTTCATGGGGCCTGGACTCTGGACTTGCCAGAAAAGGAGTTAAACATAGCTGTTCTCAAAGTACAATTAAAGACAAACCTCAGAGGGGAGAATGTTTTCGATTTGCCTTGAACAAACGCCCAAGGGCTATCCATTTTAGCATACTGGCTTTTAGCAGAGCTTGTCATTCTCCCAACAATAGACAAAGCAAAATGGAAATTTTGCCTGCCCTCACACCTGCCTAAAACAAAATTGCAGTGTGTTATAAGTGCACGATTCTTTCTCACTCTCTTAATCTGAGCTAGGGCTTCGCTTAAAATTGTTTCTTTGTCATGTTACTTTTCAAGGCATGATTTATCTCTAGACATAAAGAGGACAGTTTATAAATAAAACTTTCTCCACAGGTTCATCAAGGAAGTAGCAGCTTACTGAGCAAACTGATCAAGCAGTCTTACTATGGAAGCGTAGATACCGTGCCTCTTAGGGGTGTGACTCCAGTACAGATGCTTCTAGAAATTGGTGTGGATAAAATGAAGAGGGATTACGTCAGCTATTTTGTAGGTATGTCCGTTTTGACCCAACTCTTGTGGCAATGATCAACTGTGTTCAGGCCATCTCTAAACTGACCCATTTCCATTAAAAAAAAGAGACTGGCCATTTCATTGAGCAAAGCTTGGAAGTTCTGTCAATGAAAACTCTTACAAAAATGACCTTTTTCTGAATAAACTTCCTTAGCTTAACTTCCTTGTCATGTAATTGATGTTCCTGTTCTAATTTCACAAAATATTAGCAAAAGCTCTGCTCTAGCAATTTACAAGATGCCAGGTTGTCTCCTACATAGTTCCATTTCAGTTTTCCATTGGTCTTGAACTCTTTGCAGAGCAAATTTGGAGACTTGTGATCTTCTGTGGACATTTGGGTATTTTTAAGCGTTAAAGTCTGCACAATTGTAAATACATTTCACGATTCCACCACGTAAAACTGTGCTTTGTATTTTAGGCAAAGAATTTGCAATACGCACCCACCTGGTAAGATACGTTTTCTCACCCTTGATGCTTGTGATGAGCACTGCAGGGATGCTGGCTGTCTCTTTCCAGCTTCGTGGGGGAGGGAGTGTGTGCTCTGTTCGCATGTCAATATTGAGGGGCTATTTAAATTGGATTTGGTGACTCTCTCAAAGGCTACTTATTTTTTTCTGGGCCCCCCCCCCTCTCTCTCAAAGGATTACTTCATGTCTACTTCTGTGGACCTACAGGAGCAGATTCATCGTGTCCAGAAACTCCATCATATGCTGGAAATTGTGGACAACTGCGTAGAACTACTTAAACTTGAGCATGAGAGCCTCATCTTCTTGACACAGTAACTGTCTCCCCGCAGATTTTTCTTAAATAGCAAGGATAAGGAGATTGTCTTAAATGAGGAAAGGGAATATGGCCATCTTAATTCTCTGTGTTAAGGGTGGGAACTATAATCCAGATAAAGGGTCCTAATTCATCCAGGCGTGTGCCTATTCTGCATTTTTATATTTGCACAGGCCTTTAAGAGAATCTACGCAGCAGGATTCCCAAGGAATATAACTTCAGGAAAGCACGTAAAATGAAAGTGATCAGACTCTTGTTCTCAGCATGCTCTCACTGTTGCGCTTTGTTAATTTTAGCCCTCTGTCCTCCTGTTGCAGGGAAAGGGAGTAGCGTTTTCTTCTTATTAACTGGCTCCAAATGTTTATGAAACAAATGAAAAAGACAGTTGCAGGACCTGCAGAGGCTTAGCTGCTGTTCAGCACCGAGTTCTCTTGCCCAGTATCTGTTCACGGCAGGGTCCTGCTGCCCCCAGCTCCAGTGGATTGTGTCCCCTGCTTGGAACATCTAGAATCACCCTCTTTCTTCCTGGCTCTTACATGTCAGCCCTTGTAAAGACAGACAGTACAGTTGGTTTTGAATCAGTGGTGCGGTTACAGTAGCAGACATTTCTCCTGAGAGTGTGGATGGTCAGCAATTGCCGTCTTCTTGTAGGTCCTGTATCAACTACTACAAAGAAAACCCCCTGAATGAGAAGCACGTGTTCCAGCTGCCAGTCAGGGCAACTCTTGTGAAGGAGTTTTACCAAAAGTAAGCTAAACTGACAGCCAGATTTCCTCGGGGGAAATATGGGGGAAAGAAAGGAGGCGAGGTAGGTGGGGATTCTCTTTCTCTCAGGAAGGAATATACCCACGCACAAGCAAATACTCTTCTAAAAGAGGAGTGTGAACGCCATCATGCCTTGTCCCTCCCATTCAGCTCTCTGTGTGCTCACTCTTCCTGCACTTTATTCTTTGCCCAATCCAGTGGTGAAGGATAGCACTGATTTCTTAAAAAAATTGAGCTGTTGTGCTGACTTTTAATGTAGATGAGAGCAAAGGAGCCCGACCGATCTGTAGGCGAACTCCTGCCTTGATCGCTTTTGGAAAAAGGACCTTGGGAATGGCAACAGGCTGCTTGCCTTCTCCTGGGAACAAAGGATCACCAAATTTCCCTTCCAGAGAGACTCGGAGAGTTTGATCGGTGCAGGGGAAGCACTAAGAACTTCACTAGGACTATATAAAGTTACTAATTAGGCCTGAGATAAAAGGAGTTCAAGAACGGAACAAGGAGAGCATGTGAGGAACTGGGCTGCTGAGGAGTTGGGCCTGCAGGAGTTGGGGAGGGAGGAAGGCCATCTTGGTAAACTGCCTCAATTCATTGGATCTTAAGAGGGAAAACTAAGTTAGAAGTACTGGAAATCTGTTTGCAATTCTTCCATAATACAAGTGGGGGGGGGGGGAGTTGATCCTTTTTTCTTAGCTGAAATGTTGTATCTTCAACCAGAAGGGACTTTGAAATGCTACAATTGTAAAGCAAACTGCTTTTCAGCATCTTTTGGGGGGGGAATCATTTTTATGCAAAAGCAGTGGTAGAAAAAAGGATTTCTCAGGCCCAGATCCCGCACCTATTTCCTTAGTACCTCCTCAGTCCTGGCCCGTGACAGAGCCCCCTGAGGGGTGTGGGGCACCGTGCTGGTATCCTCTTGTTCCCCCCGCTTTTCCCGTCCAACATGAGCGGCAGCTCCGTGCCATGACTGGAATACACAGGGACCACTCTGAGCGTCGTGTTGGGGTCTCATGCACACCTGCCTGGCACCTCTTTCTCGGGGCTGCCTTGCCACACACCAGCAATATACGGGGGGAGCATTTGAGGTCCCAAGTGCCTGCCTGAAGGCGATGCTTCATCCGTGGCGGCAGCACTCTGCTTTCTCTAGTGGGGGCTGTCGGGGGGCACATAGGAGGAGGGAGAAGGCCGTGGCTTGCCTTTCCTCCGATTCCCACCTGAACGCTGTGCACCTGTTGGCTGTAAACTCGCTGTTTTTCGTAAGCTTGTCTCTCTTCCCAACCGGCACTCCAGTGCTCATCCCCAAGTGTGGAGAGTCGAAATCAGCAGCGGACGAGGCCAGGGGAAAGTCACCACAGCGTGGCAACTGAGCACCACTCCTCCAGCTGAGCACTTGTGCTCGAGCGGCGCAGGTGAGCCGTCTCGATGGTCCGAAGTGCGACGCCGGACCTGTTTCCCCACTTCATTTCCCACAGCTTGCCTTGCAACTTCCTGCTTTGACTGGGAAACTGATTTTCCGATCACGGAGTTGAGGCAGGGCTGGCCCTAAATGGGTGGCCACCAACAGAGACACGGCCACCGTATTAAGCTGACAGACCGGTGTGACGGTCTGGGCGCTAGCAAGTGAGATCATCTGTCTGTCTCTAAGGGAGGTCACTCTTTGACCCCAAAATGAAAGGCACCTCTGCGTATAGTTTATGGGGAGCCCCCCTCTCAGGAGGAAGACCAGAGTAGGGTTCTTCCTTGGAAACCTGGACAAAAAGGGGCACTGTCTTGATTTTGTTTACTATATTTTATCCTTCGAAACAATGCAGTAACCCAAGTACTTCAGTACCGTTTGAGAATGGCCTTCCCTAGTTATTCATGCAGCTGCTGGGCTGGTGCATTTGATAACGTGAAGCAGGGGACCAGAAAGGTGAGAGGGAGTCAGAAGCCACCCTTCCTCTCCAAGGAGTCTTTCCAGAGCCCCGTCATGCGCTGCGCACCGGCAGTGTAGGGGCGGAGCCTCTGTCAGTGTCGCCTGTGGCTCCCGCCTCTCTCTGTCTTGGCTCCTCATCCCTTCGCCTGCTTCTGCCAGTGAGCCCTTCCACTCACGTTACCGGCAGGAGGGCTCCCCTCATCCCCACATCCAGTCTTGCCACCTGTGCACAGCTCAGAGCTGCTCTTTCTGGTCACAGAGAGAAGGATATATTGGGCCAGGTCTGCCTGTTCTGCATATGAGCAGGGGGCGGTTTCGGGGGGGGGGGGTCTTTTAATTTGAATAAAAAGAACCCAGGGCCAACTGTCTGCCCCGTCCTTCTCTATGCAAGAAAACCAGCATGTCCAATGTCTTTCCCACCCAGAACAGCGTCCCGCCTCCACCAGCATTTTCTCGTATCCAAGGCAGTTTCCTTTATAAGTGATGTAATGATTTTGCCCCTATCCATCACCAGTTTCTTTTGTCTTGCAGATATCCTGGATACAGAAGCTTGTGGCAGTAAAGAGGAAATGTCATTTGTTACCCTCCTTGAGTGCTCTCAGGTGCCTTTTGCATAAAAATGGAAGACTTGGCTCAGCACTTCTGGTGCCAGGTAACCCACTAAAATTTACTAGTCAACCAGCACTGAATTCACAACAAATTTCTTCCTAACAAAGGCCCACCAGAAGATGACATTCCTGCCAAATTATTCAGAAAGAATTGGACTTGTTGCTGTTAAACATTTCAGTTTATAAATCTTACCAAAAGCATGGCACAAGACTAGAGCACAAACATCACAGTCCTCTGTCTTGAAAAAAGGAAATTTTATTAAAAAAAACAAGCACCCAAAGCCAATCATGGTATCAGTCCTATTTATATCGCTAACGTTCCTGTCAAGTTCTTTCAATATAGACTTGAGTTTTCGGCAGCAGCAAGTAACATTTTTGTGGAAGAAATGAGATTTAGGGTGGGATATCCAAGGGTTTCTTCTTAGATATCAGGTCGCCATCTGTTGATTGTCCGGGCTGCTTTTGACAGCAAAGAGGTAGCTTATCTGTCCAATCCTTTCTGCTTTTCCCAGAAGGCATGTAAAGCAACGTTCTTTCACTCCGAGAGCCAACTGCTCCCGCAGAACCTCCATGGGACCAGGTGGGACTGGCTTATTTCAGTGCTCGTGCGAATGTGTTGCACTCGCACAAGAAACAGATTAGTTCGCAGAGACAACAGTTTGCCGGGCGCAGTGTGCAAGGGATATCCTGTTCTCCCCTTTTAGTGAGCCCGGACAGTTCTAATGGCTAAGAATATAGCTCAGGAAAATAAAATGAAATTAAAACTGATCAGAGCAAACACCTTTAGCTGGCTGTGGTGGCTGGTCCCTTCTCTGTGGGACTCCAGGTCTCAACGATGAGCCAGTTTGGCGCGAGTTATCCAGTCATAAGATGCAGGCAGCTGTTTCAGATCGCCAGCTTTGAGGGCCGTGGCTCTTACATTCCCTCAAACAGATCTTGCATGCTTAAACTTAGGTTCATTTTGGAAACTCAGTCCAGGTCATGCACATCTTTTGTGCTGTGCATGTGTCCATCCCCCCCTCTTTTTGGCACAGACTTAGTCCTAAATTTCACAGTTTGGCAGGGCATGTTCTACCAGAGATTTTGTCGTCCTTCCTGAATTTTGTCAGAGCAAAAGTCATTCCAATTCAAGGACAGGAGGTAGATTTCAGACCTGTATCATCTTCCAAATGTTTTTGCGAAGTTGTTAGACCTGATTTGAAACAGAAAAGGGAAGCAAAAACATAGGGGTTAGGATTGGGGGAGGGGGGATGGTTCCACAACGGCAAGCGCACTGCTGGTGCCGGGGCATTCTGGGACTGAGGCGTAAGGGCTGTTGCCCTGCTACTCCTGGACTAACGTGACGTTTTTTTAATGTTCATGTGGCTTGGAAAATGACACATTTGGCCTTTCAGCTTTGCCCCAGAATTTGCACACCTTCAATATCTGCCAGTGACTCCCCCACCATGGTGGAACTCAGTCTGAACTGTGGACTCCAAGATTGGCCTCATTTCTGAAAGTTTTTCCTCCACCCGCTTCCTCACATACCGTCAAGCCTGAGGAAGAGTTCTGGAGAACTTGAAAACGCACCTTGTCTTTTATGGCATTTTGGTTAATCCTAGTAAAGTGAGGGCCCCACTGTGGATTTTGGATTCTATCGCCTGCTCCAGATTTCTGAACTCACATGTTATTTGCCAGTAAGCAAGCAGGGCACATCAGAGGCAGTGTTAAAAGGAAATCCGCCAGGGCTGACACCCCGAATCTTTCTGTTGGAGTTCGGAATCTCTGGAAAGCTATCTCCCCTGCCACCTTCCTCTCCAGGGGCGCTTGTTGAGCAAAGGGATGACCCCCCCCACCACCGATTAGCTGGCCTTTTGCCAAATGTGCGTCAACTTTTGCTTTCTCCTTCACTGAATCTTTGCCTGAGGGTTTTTTGGCTGAAATCAAATTCCCACCCCCCCCCCCGGTCTGTGTCTTCCTTTTTCCAAACTGGGGTGCCTTAAGAGAGAGTCATCTGAGAGGGATGGTGTAAAGCGGAGTCCTGCAACAACAGGCGCTTAGACCCATGGCTGCCTTCACCCCTTCCAAATGTACCAATCTCTGGATCTCCTTTAAAGGCACACGGAGAGCCTTTGGAGAATATGTATATTGCCATATGCACCTGTGCGGGGGTTTTTTGGTCCTGCAGGTGGAAGCCGCATCTCTTTCCAATGCTTGGTACTTCTGGAGTTAGCTGTACCCTCCAGTCCATCTGGAAATGCTCTGTGTTCTCCTTTCATTGTTGCTCCAAACTGCAGGCTTTTCTCTCCCATTTACTCACACACCCTGTAAAGCACCGGTCAGATTTCCACCCCCTTGAAGGTGAGCTCCCCATAGAAAATGTCCACACAGCCGTTTTGGTGCCACGAAGGTTCTTCTGCCATCCCCCACCCGCTCCAGGCAGATGGAGCGTGGGGCAACGCCAGAGCGCTGAAGTCTACTCGCCAGCCCTCTCCAAATTTTGTGACTTGGGTGGACTTTTTTCAGTTTCTCCTTCCATCCATCCCATCCAGCATGGTCAGGAATTCTGGGGATTGGAGTTAGAAACATAGAAACAGCGCGAGTCAGAAGGAGCCTCCCAGGCCATCTAGTCTGACCCCCGGCTCCACTCACGACAGGCCCACCATGTGCATGTCCAGCCTATCTTTGAACACCCTCACCGATGGGGCCTCAACCACCTCCCGGGGAAGCCCATTCCACTCCCTCGGGGTCCTGACTGTCAGGAAGTGCTTCCTGGCATCTACAGTATATCACAGAAGTGAGTATACCCCTCACATTTTGTAAATATTTTATTATATGTTTTCATGTGACAACCCTGAAGAAATGACACTTTGCTACAATGTAAAGTAGTGAGTATACAGCTTGTATAACTAAATTTGCTGTCCCTTCAAAATAACACACAGGCATTACTGTCTAAACCGCTGGCAACAAAAGTGAGTACACCCCTAAGTGAAACTGTCCAAATTCGGCATTATTAGCCATTTTCCCTCCCCGGTGTCATGTGACTCGTTAGTGTTACAAGGTCTCAGGTGTGAATGGGGAGCAGGTGTGTTAAATTTGGTGTTACTGCTCTTACTCTCTCATACTGGTCACTGGAAGTTCAACATGGCACCTCATGGCAAAGAACTCCGAGGATCTGAAAAAAAGAATTGTTGCTCTACATAAAGATGGCCTAGGCTATCAGAAGATTGCCAAGACCCTGAAACTGAGCTGCCGCCCGGTGGCCAAGACCACACAGCGGTTTAACAGGACAGGTTCCACTCAGAACAGGCCTCGCCATGGTCGACCAAAGAAGTTGAGTGTACGTGCTCAGCATCATATCCAGAGGCTGGCTTTGGGAAATGGACGTATGAGCGCTGCCAGCACTGCTGCAGAGGTTGAAGGGGTGGTGGGTCAGCCTGTCAGTGCTCAGACCGTACGCCGCACACTGCATCAAACTGGTCTGCAGGGCTGTCGTCCCAGAAGGAAGCCTCTTCTAAAGATGATGCACAAGAAAGCCCGCAAACAGTTTGCTGAAGACAAGCAGACTAAGGACGTGGATTAGTGGAACCATGTCCTGTGGTCTGATGAGACCAAGATAAACTTATTTGGTTCAGATGGTGTCAAGCATGTGTGGCGACAACCAGGTGAGGAGTACAAAGACAAGTGTGTCTTGCCTACAGCCAAGCATGGTGGTGGGAGTGTCATGGTCTGGGGCTGCATGAGTGCTGCCGGCACTGGGGAGCTACAGTTCATTGCGGGAACCATGAATGCCAACATGTCCTGTGACATACTGAAGGAGAGCATGAACCCCTCCCTTCGGAGACTGGGCCGCAGGGCAGTATTCCAACATGATCACGACCCCAAACACACCTCCAAGACGACCACTGCCTTGCTAAAGAAGCTGAGGGCAAAGGTGATGGACTGGCCAAGCACGTCTCCAGACCTACACCCTATCGAGCATCTGTGGGGCATCCTGAAACAGAAGGTGGAGGAGCGCAAGGTCTCTAACATCCACCAGCTCCGTCATGGAGGAGTGGAAGAGGACTCCAGTGGCAACCTGTGAAGCTCTGGTGAACTCCATGCCCAAGAGGGTTAAGGCAGTGCTGGAAAGTAATGGTGGCCACACAAAATGTTGACACTTTGGGCCCAATTTGGACAGTTTCACTTAGGGGTGTACTCACTTTTGTTGCCAGCGGTTTAGACATTAATGGCTGTATGTTATTTTGAGGGGACTGCAAATTTACACTGTTATACAAGCTGTATACTCACTACTTTACATTGTAGCAAAGTGTCATTTCTTCAGGGTTGTCACATGAAAAGATACAATAAAATATTTACAAAATGTGAGGGGTGTACTCACTTCTGTGATATTCTGTAAATGGAACCTGGGTTCCCTGAGCTTGACTCCATTGGAGCGCGTCCTGGCTTCCTCTGCAGGAGAGAACAGGTCTCTGCCCACCTCCGCGTGACACCCCCTCACATACCTGCATGTCGCCACAGATCCCCTCTGAGTCTCCTCCAGGCTGAAGAGACCCAGTTCCCTCAGTCTCGCCCCATACCCCATCCCCTGCAAACCAGCCACCAACCTTGTGGCCCTGCGCTGCACTGGCTCCAACCACAACATCTGGAGAAGGCGACGTTGGACCTCACGCCAGCAGGAAGAGCCTGGTGTGGCCATGAGCCACTTCCCTCCACAAGATGGCAGCATCGGAACAAGACTGCCATCCTGGTCGCGCCTGTGAGAAGCCCTTCCTCCACTACAGGAGGCCTTCCTTAGGTGGGTCCAAACAGGCCTGGTGGGCAGTCGGTTCATCTGGTCGTTTAAACAGCATGCGCCCCCAGCCTTTGGTCCACCCTCCCATAGTCACAAGCTCTGGTAAAGCAAGGGGGCCACGGGGGGTGGGGGGGGTTGAGAAGTGCAAGGAACGGAGCCAGCCCTTCCTGACACAGTTTTTGACCTGTGCCCCAGACAGCGTTGGAGACCAGCCTGGTCAGATGGGCGACTGTGGGAGCCGCAAGACCAGAAAGGAGGAACTTGGTCCTGGCAGGAGGCCCCCAGTGAGCCGGCAGCCCCAATTAACCAGGGCTGTATATTTACTTGGTAATCAAGCTATTAATTGGTTAATCACACTCAGTAATCAACTAATGCTTTCAGACCTAGTTGGTATCGCTCTGACATCCTCAGAGCGCCCCAGGCAACAATTCGGCAACATCAGCCCAATCGCGCTCTTGCCTTGTACAAAGCAGACTTCAAAGCACAGTGG